CTTGTACCTACCAAAATCTGTTTTCTTACCCACTTTTTCCTTCCTAATGTGTTTTCACTCTCTCTTTCTCTTTTTTTTTTTCATCCTGTCATGTTCTCCAGGTTGTTTTTGTTGTTGTTATTTGTTTTTATTTTTTTTTACTTTTCCATCTCCCACAGGCAAGAAGTACCCATTTTTTTTCCTTACCTCAGTAACCATTTGAACATTAAAAGTTAATACTTTTTTAGTTCATAACAGTTGTTCTCCATAATTTTTTTTTATTCTCACATCAAATTAGTTTTAGAATGAGGTAATCTAAACTCCCTTTAGTTTTTTTTTTTTTAAAGATTTATTTATTTGAGAGAGAGTGCACATTTGCAAGCAGGGGGAGGGGCAAAGGAAGAGGGGGAAGCAGACTCCCTGCTGAGCACAGAGCCCAACACAGGCCTCAATCCCATGACCCTGAGATCATGACCTGAGCAAAATCAAGAGTCGATCGCCCAACCGACTGAGCCACCTAGGCACCCCTAGATTTTATTTTTTAACTAGTTTTCTGTACAAAAGAGAATTTGGGTTGGGTATCTGATTATTAGTTCTAATAGGTACTGTTCAGAATACACAGTGTTCATTGTGCAGAATCTCTTTCTGTATGATGCCAAAAGAACTAGTCGCTAGCATCAGTGTTTTTTTATTTTTTTTTGCTAGCTTGATTGTGAAGATTTTATTATAACACATTTTATCTGTATGCTGTTTTTTTTTTGAATGATGCAATAACCACAGATATTGAACAAAACTGGACATGAAGGAAGTGTAAAAATTGGCAATAAGCCACCTGTATGCTTGTGTCTAGTGTCCAGGGAGTAATGTAGTTTTTTTTTTTGCTTGATGGTAGCCATCACAAGGAAGTTATACCATTTTAAAGTATGCAGTCTTTTTTTTTTATTTGTGAGAACCTTTGGTCACAACAGTTTCATCAGCTGATCAGTATATCACCTTGTTTTATGTGTTTTTCTGTCGAAAGATACCTTATGTGACGTATATTATTGATTCATTTTTTTTTAACTCACAGCCAATAGCGCTCTAACTCGTACCTGAACAAGACTTACCTAACAACACGTACTTTTTTCCATAAGTCACATCACAGCCTTCTTGTACTTAGGAACACTAGATATTTTTTTTTCTATGCTTGGGAGCCATTTTCAACAGTGAAATCACCAACAAAAACTACAAATTTTTTTTTACATGGCACTAAATACACTGAAAAAAGATAACTTGTCGGCAGTATGAAACATTTTTTTTTGCAGAGTATTGCTTCGTTACAACTCAGCTGGGAATGTGTAGGTCAGGCAACTCAAATTTTTCACTGCTATATACATGTCTTTGAATGACTCTGAAAGTGCCATAAAGATTGTTTTTTTTTTTATAAATAAATTTTAGTGAGTGGGTGACTTCACAAATAAGGAACCCATGAATAATGAGGATTGACTAAAATTGTTTTATTAAAGCACTGTTCTTGGGGGAATATGTCTCCTTTTTTTTTGATGCTTAATTCCAATAGGCTTTCAAGATAATAAATAGTTTTTAACTAAAGAACATTTGTTCCCAGTAGCATGTTACTGAATAAACCTAATTTTTCATTATAAAAATTAAAATAATAATGATTTGAATATAGAAACCTTATGGTAAAAACAATAAGAATTATAACATAATGCCCTTGCAATAGAACCTTACTTCTACCTATATCATTGTTTCCATGGAAAAATTTATTCCATTTTTTTTTTGAGATGCCAAAGCCCTTTAGCTTCTTGAGTCCTTAGTTCCAATGATGAGCAATCCACCATACGCACCTACAGTGTAGGACTTCCATTTTCCCTCTAGTCTAGTTCTGGGGTTTTTTTTTGAGCCATAGGAGTTGGACTCTGGACAATAGAACAGAAGGGAGTAGTAGGGGTTTTTTTTTAGAAGACAGTTTCTTCAAATGACTTTCATGAATAACACCGTGATTTTTAGGTTTTTTTTTGGGATGATTGTTAGTACAGTCTCAAATTGACAGAAGCCATATTTTGAAAATAGTGGCTCTGCTAGAAATAAAATTTTGGACCATGTGGTTCATTGATCTATTTTTTTTTAATTTTTTTTTTATTTGACAGAGAGACAGAGAGAAATCACAAGTAGGCAGACAGGCGGGCAGTTTTTTTTTGAGAAGCAGGCTCCCTGCTAAGCACGGAGCCCAATTGCGGGGCTCTATCCCAGGACGCTGGGATCATGACCTGAGCTGAAGGCAGCTGCTTAACTGACTGAGCCACCCAGGCACCCCTGATCTGATCTATTAAGGCATCTTTTTTACTCTCCTTTAAGGATTTAAGTTTGATTTTTTTTTTTCATGGTGTTAAAAGAAAAATGCAGATGCTGGTCTTCCGTGTGATGAGCTTTTTTTTTTAGTCTCTGATCAAGAGGATAAATACCCTGCAAGTTTATACCAACTAAGCAATTTTTTTTTTGCTCAATGTTTTCCCATAACGTTATTATACTCTGTAATATTTAACAGACGTTTTTTTTTTCTGTGTTCCTTTGTATTCACTTAATGGTTAAAAGTTTGAGGTAAAACAATTTTTTTTTTAGATAAGAAAATGTGATATACTAAAACCTTTATAGAACTTAAAAATGAACCTTTTTTTTTTCTTTTAAATGACAGGTTTCTTTTGGGGGAGGAGGCCTTTAATGAGATCTGTTTTTTTTTCCAGGTTTCCCAAGTTTAAGATCTTTTAATGAAAAATAATGGACTAGGTATTTTTTTTTTTTTAATTCAGTTTAGATTTTTAAACTCAGCTGAGTTTTTTATTTAATAAAATTTTTTTTTTTTAATATATTAATTTAGTGCAATATATTAATGTTTGGCCATTTTTTAATCTTTTATTCCAAGAGGAATAATACATATTCTATTTTTAGTAAATAGAGCAGCTGACGGAGATTTTTTTTTATCTTGTTTTAAGTCAGAATTCTTCTGTTTCCTTTCCTTAAGTGGTCTTTAAATGGACTGGGGACAGTAGCATATATAAACCTCTCATTTGAAATTTCGAGTGTGCAACAGTTTTTTTTTTGCTCAGAGTAGTCTAACTGTAAAGAAACTTGTTTAACTTTATTTGCAAGGTTTCTTAACATGTCTTTGGCTTTGGAACCCTTCCCCCTGCCCCCCAGAAACTTTAGCATCTTTTTTTTTGTCATAACTGAGGAGCACAGTTATGGAAATTAGCTTGTCAGAGGCAAGTGGCCCTTCTTCTGGGCATATAGGGGGTTTATGAAACCACCTTGGCACTTCAGTGTGTAGGCAGAGGGAGCCAGATCGACACACTGAGAAACAGTCAGTCCTTTCCCTTGTTTTCAGGATGACAAAAAGTATTTTTGTACCTTCTCTGGAGAAAGCAATAGGTTTATTCTCCTTCACTTATGTTTTTTTTTTCTCATATACACGGGTGACAGGTGGCCTAGAACTATCTTAGGTCCTTTAAGATTTTTTTTTAGGACTATGTTATTGTTTGTAGTAAATACTGTTTTACTAGACACGTTTTTAGTGTTTTTTAAATCAATAAGTCATTAATCCTGAAACACCAGTTTCATTGTTGACCTTTAATTTTTTTTTAATGTTCCTTTTAATTAAAATCAATGTTTATTACATCTCATAAACTTTAACTTTTTTTTTAAAAACCAACAAAAAAATAGGAAGATCATAGGACAATGGACAAACAAATCATAGATTGATTAAAATTTTAACACAGGAAGAGCTGAGATTTTAAAAACCTACAGGAAAAAGTTTTTTTTTCAATTGATTTTTAACCAGCTAATAATATTCTAATCAATACAAGAAATCAAGTTTTTTTTTTTTGTGTGAGAATGTAAAAATTTCTGCTTGGCATATATATATAATGCAGCTAAACAAAAAAATCAAACAATGAGGAAACAGCAAGTGTAACAAAAAGTTGAGGTTTATATATTTTTTTTTACTCTTGTAATTTAAGAATACTATCAAACCTCAGTTAAATGAGAAAAGGACTTTTTTTTTATACATGGGGAAGTTGTCAGCCAGTAAAGGAATTAATTTTCATCAACTAATTTTTTTTTTACACCTATGCCTTATACTGTGGTTGGTGTTGGAGTTTGAGTGTTGAAGAGGACACTCAGCCCTTTTGGGAAAGAGAGGGAAGCAAGGGACACAATAAACAAAGGAATGCAATAGAGTTATGAAGATAGATTTACAAATGCTGGCAAGGCTAGGGAAACTGGTTCAACTGGTTTTTTTTTTAAAAAAAATGACAGAAACTTTTTTTTAACCTTACAAATGATCCTAATGAGATTTTTTTTTTTTAAAAAAAGAAAGGAATAGCATAATACTAAGCGAAATAAGTCAATCAGAGAAAGACAAGTATCGTATGATCTCACTGATATGAGGAATTTGAGAAACAAGACGGAGGATCATAGGGGAAGGGAAGGAAAAATGAAACAAGACGAAGCCAGAGAGGGAGACAAACCATAAGAGACTCTTAATCTCAGGAAACTGACTGAGGGTTGCTGGAGTAGAGAGGGTGGGAGGGATTTTTTTTTTGGGTGATGGACATTGGGGAGGGTAAGTACTATGGTGAGCACTGTGAATTGTTTTTTTTTTATAAATCACAAACCTGTACCCCTGAAACAAATAATACATTATATGTTAATATTTTTTTTTTTTAAAAAAGGAATAGCTTATATGTTGAACAATAGGGCTTAGTCAAGTAAGTAAGATTTCTTAGAGTTGCTTTTTGATTTCTTAGAGTTACTTTATGATTAAAAATATAATTTTTTTTTTTATAGTAATATGAAACAATATCATGAAGAAGTGACTGTAGTTGTATTCATGTTTTTTTTTTCTGTTCTATAAAATAAGTATGTACATGGTCATTAATGGTAGTAGGATTTATTTTGCATAATACTTAATAGAAGAAATTTGAAGACTCATTTTATTAAAAAATGTTTTTTCTTTTTTTTTGCTGACTACACAAGACTGCCTTCCCCATATTTCCATAGCCAGCGACATGACTTTTTTTTTTGATGACCAGTCTCAGGGCCCTTGGGTGACTGGCTGGTTGCACCATGGAACTTAAAGTATGGGTGGATGGAGTTCAGAGGATTGTTTGTGGGGTCACCGAAGTTACAACTTTTTTTTTTTTTGTTATAGCCTTAGCTCAAGCGATAGGTAAGTGGACTTTCTGGGAATCTGAGATAAAGTGGTTTATGCTTCCTTTTGTGGTTTATGTTTGCTTGTATTAAATATAGATTTTTTTTTTTTTGTTTATTTGGTTCCATAATACAACTTGCAGGTATACTTTTACTTATTATTATTCCCCCATGCTTAAATAAATCTGTAAAGACACTTATTCTCTCTCTCCCCCCCAGATTTTTTTTTTTTTCAGACTAGAGTCTGCACTGCCTTCTGCTCTATTGTTGTTTATCCTAAACATTTTTTTTTGGGACTAAAGATGTTTTCTTGAGCCAAAACATAGATTCCTAGTTCCCAGACCCCTCATTAGGAACAATCCTATTTACTGTTTATTCTGACTACTTTTAGAAAAGAAAAATGCAACAAGTAGCATGGTCCTTCAATAGAAAGATAATATGTGCATTTTTAAATCTTACTATATTTTTTTTTTGAAGTTGTCAAGTACATGCTTACTCGCTCCATCTTGTTCACCTACAGTGTTGAAACTTTTCTTCTTAGTTAGTCTCAGTTTATCTTTATCATTTTTATGCATGTTTTTTATTTTTTTTTACCCTTTTGGAACATGATGAGGGCATAAGCACCTACATCAGAAAAGCCAATAATGTGGGTTACAGCTTACATTTGCATCTTAAGTCCATCATTTAGCAAATACGTATTAAATTTTTTTTTTTTTCAGCACCATGTTAGGTGCTTAGTGCTTCTTTGTCTTTGAGCAACTAATTTTTTTTTCTTTATGTCGTGCTGGTTTATATTGGAAACATGTCACGTTTGTTCAGGATTGAGAAAAGTCACCCTGCTCCATGACACCTTAGCATTTTGTAGAGACATTTCTGGCAGATATTTTTTTTTGAAGCTGGCAATGCCCTGTGCAAAGACAGAGACTTTCTTTTAATACTGACATTTTTTTATTTTTCCTTAAATACTTTGTAGCACACACATATGTTAAAACAATGCTAAAAATCCTAGGCTTTCACATTCAATGAAATTTTCTTGCATTTTGGCCTAATTATATTTGTGGACTTAAGTTTAATTGTTAAAGAAGGGAAAATAAAGGCATTTGATTTTCTTTCATATTCTTTGCAACCAACTTATTTAGTAATTGTCCCTTTTACAAGCCTGATAAAGAATTCAAAGTAATGATTTTTTTTTTACTCACTGGATTTGAGAAAAAAGTGGATGAACTCAATGAGAATTTCAACAAAGAGATAGAAACTATAAAAAACAACCAGTTAGAGTTGAAGAATACACTAATGGAAATTAAAAATATATAGAGGGAATCAGCAGCAGATTAGAGGATGCAAAAGAATGGACCAATGATTTGGAAGACAGGATAATGGAAGGCAACCAACCTTAACAGCAAAAAGAAAAAAGAATAATAATAAATAAGAATAGATTAAGGAAACTCAGTGACATCATCAAGCATAACAACATTCACATTATAGTGAGCCCCTGAAGAAGAAAAGAAAGGGGACAGAAAACTTATTTGAAGATATAATTTGAAGAAAAACTTCCTTAATCTGGGAGCGGAAACAGATACCCAGGTCCAGGAATCACAGAGTGCCCCCAAACAAAATGAACCCAAGGATGTCCACACAAAAACACATAATAATTAAAATAGCATTTTTTTTTAGAGAGAATATTAAAAGCAGCAAGAGAAAAGCAAGCACATATAAAGGAAACCTCATAAGGCTATCAGCTGATTTTTCAGCAGAAACTTTTCAGGGCAGAAGAGAGGGGCATGATATATTCAAAGTGCTAAAAGGAAAAAACCTACAACCCAGCAAAGTTATGATTCAGAATTGAAGGAGATAGTTTCCCAAACAAAGGGGTTTACCACCACTAAATTGGCCTTACAAGAAATGTTAAAGGGAATTCTTTATGTGGAAGGAAAAGATCATAACTAGAAATGAGAAAATTATGTTTTTTTTTAAAATTCACTGATAAAAATTACGTATAAGCCAATATGGAGGTTAAAACACAAAAACAGTAAAAATCAATCATACCTTAAAAATTAGTCAAAGAATACACAAAAAGAAGCAAAATGCGATATCATATACATAAAATGTGGTTGGAGTAAAAATGTAGTGTTTTAGAATGTGTTTTTTTTTTAGTGATTATCAGCTTAATATAGACTGCTATATATATAGGATGTTATATATGTTTTTTTTTGTAACCACAAATCAAAATTCCATAGTAGATACACAAAAAATAAAGAGAAAGGAATCCAAGCATAACACTAAGGAAAGTCATCAAACCACAAGCGAAGAGAACGAAAGAAGAAAGGAACAGAGAAGAACTATAAAAACAACCAGAAGACAATTAACAAAATGGCAATAAGTGTATACTGATCAATAATTACTTTAAATATAAATGGACTAAATGCTCCAAGCAAAAAACATATTTTTTTTTAATGGATTAAAAAAAAAAGACCCATCTTGCCTATAAGAGAAAAATTCATATTTTTTTTTTCTTACAGACTGAAAGTGAAGGGATGGAAAAAGATAATCCATAGAAATGGAGGTGGAAAAAAAAAAGGTTGGGTAGCAATACTTACATCAGACAAAATAGACTTTAAAACAATGACTGTAATAAGAGAGAAAGGCATTATGTAATGATAAAAAGGGTTCAATCCAAAAGCAAATATTAACAGACTTAAAGGGAGAAATTGACAGTAATACAATAATAGTAGGAGACTTTAACACCTCATTTATATCAATAGATAGGTCACCCAAACAGAAAATCAGTAAGGAAACTGGCTTTGAACCACACATTCGGCCAGATGGACTTCACAGATACATACAGAACATTCCACCCCAAAACTTTTTTTTTCACATTCTTTTCAAATGAGCATGGAATATTCTCTAGGATAGATCACATGTTAGGACACAAAACAGATCTCAATAAATTTAAGAAGATTAAAATCAATCAGACATCTTTTCTGAGTACAACAGTATGAAAGTAGAAATTAATTACAAGAAAAGAAAAAAACTGGAAAAACCCAAACACATGGAGGCTACATAACCAGTGGGTCAGTGAAGACTCAAAAGAGGAAAAAAAAAAAAAAATACCTGGAGACAAATGAAAATGGAAACACAACTGTTCAAAATCTTTGGGACACAATTTTTTTTTTTCTAAGAGGGAAAGTTATACCAATACAAGCCTACCTCAAGAAACAAGGAATTTTTTTTTCTAACCTTACAACTAAAGGAGCTAGGGAAACAAACAAAGCTCAAAGTTAGTAGAAGGAAGGAAATCATAAAAATTAGAGTGGGAATAAGTGAAATAGAGACTAAAAAGAAAAAAAAAATCAATGAAAATAAGAGCTGGTTCTTTGAAAAGATCATATAGTCAAACCGTTAGCCAGACTCTGGAAGAAAAAAAAAAGAGAGAAAACTCAGGTAAATAAAAGTCTGAAATGAAAGAGGAGAAATAACAACTGACACCACAGAAATACAAAAGATATGAGAATAGAATGAAAAATTATATGCCAACAAGTTGGACAACCTAGAAGACATAGATAAATTTTTAGAAACATAAAATCTTTCAAAACTGAATCAGAAAGAAATAGGAAACCTGAACAAACAGATTACTGATAACAACTTTTTTTTTGTAATTAAAAAAAAAAATCCCAACAAACAAAAGTCCAGGACCAGATGTCTTCACAGGTGAATTCTACCAAACATTTAAAGAGCTAATAGCTGTTCTTCTCAAACTATTCCAAAAACCAGAAGAGGAAGAAAAACTTACAAATTCATTCAACAAGGCCAGCTTTTATTACCTTAATAGCAAAACCAGACACTACAAAAAAAGAAAGAAAAGAAAAGGAAACTACAGGCCAGTATCCCTGATGAACATAGATGCAAAAATCCTCAACAAAGCATTAGTAAACCAAATTCAGCACTACATTAAAAGGATCATTCAGCATCACCAAGTGGTATTTATTTCAGGGATGCAACAATGTTTTTTTTTTCACAAATCAATCAGTGTGATACCTCGTATTAACAAGAGGGAGGATAAAAATTTTTTTTTGAAAAAGCATTTGACAAAATACATCTGTCTATGATAAAAACTCTCAATAGTGGGTTTAAAGGGAGCATACCTCAACATAATAAAGTCCATATATGAAAAACCCACAGCTAACATCATACTCAGTGGTGAAAAATTGAAAGCTTTCCCTTTAATATTAAGTATAAGACAAGGATGTTTACTCTCACCACTTTTATTCATCATGGTACTGGACGTCCTAGCCACAGCAATCAGAAAAGAAAAATGAATAAAAGTCATCCACGTTGGTAAGGAAGAAGTAGAATTCACTACTTGCAGATTACATCATAATTATGTATAGAAAACCCTAAAGACTCCACTGATAAACTGTTAGAACTAACAAATGAATTCAGTATAGTTGCAGAATGTAAAATTAATATACAGAAAACTGTTGTGTTTCTATACACTAATAATGAAGTAGCAGAAAGAGAAATTAAGATAACAGTCCCATTTACATTTTTTTTTAAAAAAAAATAAAATACTTAGGAATAAATTAAATCAAGGAGGTGAAAGACCTACACTCTAAAAACTCGTAAGACTTTGATGAAAAAAAATTGAAAGAAACACAAACAAATGGAAAGATGGACCATGCTCATGGATTGGAAGACTTAATATTGTTAAAGTGTCCATACTGTCTTTTTTTTTTATAGATTTAATGCAGTCCCCATCAAAATACAAATAGTACTTTTCTCGGAACTAGAACAAATAATTCTAAAATTTGTATGGAAGCACAAGAGACGTTGAATAGCTAAAGCAATCTTGAAAAAGAACAACAAAGCTGGAGGTTTCACAATCCCAGATTTCAAGATATACTACTTTTTTTTTAATAATTAAAACAGTATGGTACTGTTAGATATATAGATCATTGGAACAAAATTTTTTTTTCAGAAATAAACCCAGTTACATAGTTGATTAATCTATGTCAAGGGAGG